ACATTCCTAAACACTTTCTTGGACTCCATGAATTTGCTGATGTCCATATACTCCCTTCCCCCATATTCTCACCTATAAAAGTCTAATTTCTCTTCACCAAAGCCCATCTTACTTACCTTCTCTACTACTTCCCAAACCCTACCAAACTGGGTGTAACCTATCCCTAAGAATTGAAAGAGTCCAGATGATAAGTAAACCAGGGCACAAATGGGGAAAAAAAAAAAACTAAGGGGGATGACATGATCAGTTTAAGCCATATGCCATTTAAAAGTAAATGCAGAACAGCCTAAAGAAATTCAGAGGGACTTGACCAGAGGTCAGAAGTGAAATAGATATTTAAGGGTCATACACCCAGAAAGAGTAACTGAGCTACAAAACAGGTGAATTATCTCAGAATAAGTATGTGAAGAAAGAATGTGCATGCTAAGTTGCTTCAGTCATGTTCAGCTCTGTGTAACCCCAGATGGATAGACTGAAAAATAATTGGCCTGCACTCTTCAAAATTGTCAATATCATAAAAGACAAAGAAAGACTGAAGTGTCGTTACAGGTTAAAGAATACTAATCTGCCTGCAGTACGGGAGACCTGGGTTTGATTCCTGGGACTGTAGACCACCAGGCTCCTCTGTCCATGGGATTCTCCAGGCAAGAATGCTGGAGTGGGTTTCTATGCCCTTCTCCAAGAGAGCTTCCTGACCCAGGGATCGAACCTGCGTCTCTTATGTCTCCCGCACTGGCAGACAGGTTCTTTACCACTGCCTATTGCCACCTGAGAAGCACATAAAGAGAGAATGGGACCAATTACTCCAATAGCAGCATTTGTTATTAGATGGAAGCAAAAAGGACAAGTAAAAGATAGACAGAAAATACAGTGAGAAAGGTAGAAAGAGAACCATGACACAGTCTTTAATGTTATAAGTAAAAAAAAAATTTTTGAAGGAATAGTAGTAAAATAATATTAAATGTGACAGTATGTTCAAAAAGAAAACAGAACTAAGCAGATACATGAACAAAAATAAAAAACAAAAAAAGTTGGACCATGGAGAAAGTAGTTTCAATAGCACTGTGAATATGAGGCCTGAATGAAGGTTATTAAATTTCAATAAACATTTAATAAATGCCTTCTAGGTGTCAAACACTGGGTTTAAAAAAGCAAACAGGCTGAAATTAGGCAATGGGTACACACTAAAGGTTGGAGATGGTAGAATGTAAAGGCGAAGGGGAAAGTCTATACCTTTTAATTTTTATTTAAGTGTGTTCTTACCAGAAGATGACAAGAAGATTCATTTTGTATCTTTTGAATCTAGGAATAAGATAAAGTATAAGGAAAATTCAAGTTGGTCTCTGGCACTGGTTTTTCCATTAATAAAAATATATTAAGGAACAAGAATTATAATACATTTAAAAATATAATTATTAGCTTCTATAATCCTATTTAAAATTGTAATAAAATAATGAATTACAAAGATACTTTTCATTTATAACATGCAGCTTCTGGAAAATACAGCATATCAATTTAAGTTGCTAAATAATCCTTACAAGACCATTAGATCATTTGATGTTTAATAGAGGGCCTATTGTTGCTTAGTCCCTCAGTCATGTCTGACTCCTTTGTGACCCCATGGACTGTAGCCCACTGATCATGGGATTATCCAGACAAGAAATACTGGAGTGGGTCGCCATTTCCTTTTCTAGGAGATCTTCCCAACCCAGGGATCAAACCCACGTCTCCTGCTCGGCAGGCAGGTTCTTTGCCACTGAACCACCTGGGCTCAGAAGGCCTCCTGCTGAGGCACAGAAGAATTTAACAAGTTCAAGACTATGGCCAGAGCAAACTTAGATGCAATCTAGTGTGTTTATTAGAGTAACTAGATCTGGATTAACAGAACAGTGTCAATATTTTTGCACATTTTTCTGCCTATACACGCATCCTTGTCACCTAAGAAACCACTGACAGCTTTTTCCTTCTAATTCCCTCTCTTGCCTCATTCTCTTTCTTAACTGGATAAGAAAAGCAAAGCAGAGTATCACTAATGTGAACATTAGTATAAATACCATTATTGCAAACAATGTATGCTATTATGAATGCAATATTATAAGAACAGTAATGAGTTTCCAGTGTTATATTGCTTACAACATTCTGTTTTAATTATCTTATGAAAATATTTCTCACAAAATCAAACTCTGCAGATTTATAGACTGTCAAAATAAAAGTTGTCACTGAGTAACTATACTAAAAACCTACAGAAACATTCAGCATGGTAATATATGTATTAGGACATGCATGTGAAGGAAAGAAAATCACCTATGATTAAGCAATTCCTGTGGCATTATTTGTTACATAAATTTTATCCAGCTTAATTGTTTGAGAATCCAGAACTTCCAATTACTTTAATAAACATACTAAATTACATCTAATTTTGCTCTGACCACAACATCAACTGATGCAGTTTTAAACATGGTTTAATTTATGAATTGTTTTCCAGGAATGAAATAATGACATCAAGGCTATAACTCAAGGGCAGATTTTGCTAAATGCATTAAACTGGACTGCAGCATCATGAAAAGGAAGTGACTGTATGAAATAACACAGAATATACACTATAATATAGTTAAAATGTTTTTCTTCATCTGTATGGATGAGTTTTGTGACCTGGCTTTCCTGGAGGCTCAGACAGTAAAGAATACATCTGCAGTGCAGAAGACCTGGGTTTGATCTCTGGGTTGGGAAGATCCCCTGGAGAAGGGAAGATCCCCTGGAGGAGGAAATGGATACCCACTCCAGTATTCTGACCTGGAGAATTCCATGGGCAGAGGAGCCTGGCAGGCTACAGTTCATGGGGTATCAAAGAGTCGGACAAGACTGAACAACTTTCACTCACTCATTCAAATTCAGATTTAACAAAAATATTTCAGATTTAAAAGACAAGCATGTTTCCTTGGCTCAGGAAGTTCCAGTCATCATTCACTTTCTGCACTCCTCTACACACACCTACACCTGTGGTCTACTCTACATTTAGAGCTTTACAATGCTTTCTACTTTTAATTATAATGAACAGTGATAAAATGGTAGCCTTGATTCTACAGTTCTGTGCACTGAATATGACAATGAGGGAAACTACTGGTCTAACGTGATCCAAGGGAAATAAAGTATTAGGGAAGCCAGCTCTCTTTAATACAATGAAAATTGTGTGTACTTACTTTCACTAGACAATTGTTGGCATTTCAGCCTAAGTCTGTATTTCTCATTTTCTTTAAGCATTTTTGAAATGACTTTGTACACTCCATTCCATACTAAAACCTTCAAAAGATAAGCACAGTTAAGGAACACTGAGCAGAGAATGCAGACTACAGTGTGATGCAGACAACTAGGAGTAAGTCAACTGTGATGACTCAAAGTCATTCAGGCGTGTCCGACTCTTTGCAACCCCATGGACTATACAGTCCATGGAGTTCTCCAGGCCAGAATACTGGAGTGGGTAGCCTTTCCCTTCTCCAGGGGATCTTCCCAACCCAGGGATCGAACCCAGGCCTCCCGCATTGCAGGTGGATTCTTTACCAGCTAAGCCACAAGGGAAGCCCCAAGTCAACCATAATATTTGATATCTGATTTGATATTATCATTACAAAGCACTTATCCTTTTCTAACTTCTTAGTATTTCCTCTCTGTAGTATTTAAACTAACTTGTCCTGGGGACTTCCCTGGTGGTCTAGTGGTTAAGACTCCATAGGAGGCAGTTTGTTCCCTGGTTGGGGAACTAAGATCCTACATGCTGCATGGCATAGTCAAAAAATTAAAAGTAAATAATTGGGAAAATGTATAATAAATAAATAAACTTTCCTGGATGATGTCAAGGTCTTTCAAAGGCAATGTCTAGTAAGTTCTATGGTTCCATCATACTCAATTTTGTTTTGAAAGGTAGTAAAAATAATAAATTTCTATTCCTATGTCTAAACCACTGGGCCATGATATGATTTTTAGTGCATTTTATTCTAGTTAATAATTAAACATTTCTCCTAGGACATCACTAGAGAGCATGAATATACTAGAATAGGAAGAATGGAGACCACAGAAGCAAACATAGAAATCTAGGCTCATATTCTAGCTTAACCACTTAACCCCTTGCTTAATATCAGGCAAGTGTTTTAATCTCACCTAGGAGTAACTTCATACACTGGATTATTAGAAATCATGAGAAATACACATAAAGCATTTACACCTAGTGTCTGGCTCACAGCAGTTATAGGCAAACACTGGCTACTGTGCAAGAGGAATTGGTTCTTAGAAGAAAAACTTCTCAGTATAGTGGGAAGATTAAATGCTCACTCAAAATACACTTGCTGAAAGAGTTAGTCACTTTGAGTGCTATTCTATACCATATACGGATTAGAAATCAAACAAACTTAAAATTCAGAAATAATATAATTTATGTGTCATTATCAACTAATGATTTCTTTAAACTGAAGTATAAAACATATGGTGGTAAACAAAGATTAGTACAATAACTGATCTTGAATATGTTTAAAACACTGAAGTTACCATGACATGTGGACAACTAGACAAGAAAACGGTTCAGCATAAAGGTCCATGCTTGCCAGATTTCCTGCTAGAAACAGTGTATATCCCTTGTCCTTGAAAGAGCGCTGTGACAACAATATAGACACCTTTTACCTTTCTGTGAAGTGCATGATTTTCTTATGTTACACCGAGTTTGTTATATTCTATGGAATATGTACTTTCATGCTTTGAAAAAGCGTGTAGTTATACTTTGATTAAAATGTATTTTATATCTTCAAAAACAGGAAGGGATATTCTTCATGGTTAATAAATATTTTCAAACCCACTTGCATTTCTGACAATTCTAGTTTTCTCATTTCGGTAAACTAAATTTTTCAAAAGATGGAACTATTTTTAATGTCTTGAGTTTCTTCACACATTTGTATTTAAACAGGTTAATCTAAAATTCAAAATATCACTCATTCCCCTGTGCAAAAATATACCTTTTTGTTCTTCTTCATTATTTTGGAAGTTTCACTCAAAGGTATGGGGAAGTCAAACTTTTTAGCTAAATTCTTCTGGGTTAAACCTAATTTTAAAAAAACAGAGAAAGAGAGAAATAAGGTAAAATATCAAGTCAGCACATACTTTAAAGAATTCACTATCCTGATAATTAACTACTATAAATGTCTCAAGCTTTCTTTGGGGATTTTTACACTTGTTGATATATTTCAGATGACTAGATAATAGCAGTTTACCAATTAACTAATACTATACTGGAAAAAATAAAACAAGAAAACTAAGGGTAAACTATCTAATGGCGCCTAGATCGCCTTCATTTTCTAATTTGAAAGGTGAGTCCCAAAAAAGTTTGCAAAAGAGTAAACAAATACCAGAAAACCACATTTTTCCCCAGGCAAGTGCGCGCGCGCACTCTCTCTCTCTCTCTCTCACACACACACACACACCCCTGTGAGGCAAATATCTACCTGCTCTTCAAGACTCAGCTCATATGTCACCACCTTTCTACAGCCTCTCCCCTCAAACACCCACAGCCCTTGCTTCCAGAGACACTTTGCTCAAGGTACTTAGCCCATTTTTATAGCCTATGTTTATACTGTCTCCTTCACCACGAGGTGACCTTCTGGTGGGGCCGTGTCCCTGTGGGTATTATTCATCTATCTATGCTACCAGACACACAGTAGGTTCTAATGAAGGTTTGTCAGAGTGATAAGCTTCCTGACTCTACGCAATAAACCATACTGCCTTCCCAAATATTAACTGTGAGAAGAAAGCCTAAGGGTTTGTGTATCCAAAATTGAAGCACAATGAGCATGTGTTCCCGGAAGTGTTTATGTTTGTTCTTTTGCCTGCAACACCCTGTATGTAGCCCAACACTTCCCCACCTTATTCCTGCCATGCCACCACTGTCTACTTGGGCTTCTTCGAATCATCCAGTATTTAGCTTTCCAGGGGCAGAGGGCCTTCTCTGATTTCACAAAGCACCCTATGCTCAGTTACCACAGGATTTAGCATGCTGTTTCCCTGAGAAATGTGTTCTATTCATTAGAAGTCCAGTAGTATAGAAGTTAGATACACAATAAATATTCTATTTGTTGAGTGAAACAGAGTACGTCCTAAACTGGCTTGTCCCCGTTTGTGAGGAACAGACCCCTGATCCTGAGTGGGGCATAGATAGAGCACTAGCGAACATGAACTCACATTAAGAGAAACTCTCTCTTTTGAATTCTTTTTCAATCTTCTGATTATATCAAGCAGAAAGTCTGAGTTTGGAACTAGTATGTCATTTAAACTTTTCTAAGACTTGCTTATCTCTCTTTATGACTGCAGCAACTTCCAGAAGACAACCTATTTGGCTAGAATTTAATAATATTGTTTTCCCTGTATTAGATGTTTTTAGTTAATTTCTATTTATGGAAAATGATACATGCTTTTCACTGAGGTAATGATGTAAATGTGTTCTAAAAAGAAATTCAGTTGGGAGGGAAAAATGCACCTATTTAAATAAATATATTAAGTAAATGACAGTACAGATGTACAGATATAACACAGGAAAAAAACTTAAGTTTGGGAAACTCTGCTCTTCATATACCCACATGTATCCTTCCCTCTAAGTGCCTACAACCTTTGGAATACTGTACTTGTCTCATTTCCAAACATTTTCTGTTTGTAATTCTTACCTAACCTAGATGTATATACTCCTTGAGGTCGATAGGCACCCTCATATCTATCTGTATTAGTTAGGAATATAAAATACGTCAAGGAGCATAGAGAAGAGAAAAGGAAAAAAAGGCAAAATCATTTCTTCTACTTATTTTGGGCACTTTACTGAGACTATGGCTCCACTGTATACCTAGATTTTATTCCAACTTATGCTTCAAATCTGTCTCTACTCTTTGCAAACACTCTGATCCAGTCTAAATATATTTTCCTCCTTCCCTAATCATTATCCATCACTGATCCTTACTCAGAACTTTGCTTACATGTTTTCCCACCTATAATCCCCTACTATCTCAGGAACATGTGTAAATCTCACAGAACCACATCCACCACCAAAAAGCTTTCCTTAATTCCTTCATCCCCCAATTATTCACCACCTCCACAGCATTTATTTGTACCTCCACAATAGCATTCATCATCCTCTACTACAAATAAGTGAAAGTCAGTTGGAGACTCTTTGAGACTCCATGGACTCTGTCCATGGAATTCTCCAGGCCAGGATACTAGAATGGGTAGCCTTTCCCTTCTCTAGGGGATCTTCCCAACCTAGGGATCGAACCCAGGTCTCCCACATTGCAGGCAGATTCTTTGCCAGCTGAGCTACCAGGGAAGCTCTACTATATATAAATTATGGCCATATCTCCCAAGTTCTGGAGAACATAGAACCAGCTTGACTTATGAGTCTTGCCTGAAGCATTAAGAAGAGTTACTGACTTGCCAGCCCCTGGATTTCTAAGGGGCTTCCCAAGTGGCACAGTGGTAAAAAATCCATCTGCCACTGCAGGAGACAGAGGAGACACAGGTTTGATTCCTGGGTCAGGAAGATCCCCTGGAAGAGGAAATGGCAACCCACTCCAGTACTCTTGCCTGGAAAATTCCATGAACAGAGGAGCCTGGCAGGCTACAGTCCACAGGGTCACAAAGAGCTGGACACGACTGAGCACACATGCACGGACTTCTAAACTACAATACATCTCACATACAGCTTATAATGGAGAAGGAAATGGCAACCCACTCCAATATTCTTGCCTGGAGAATCCCAGGGACAGAGGAGCCTGGTGGGCTGCCGTCTATGGGGTTGCACAGAGTCGGACATGACTGAAGCGACTTAGCAGCAGCAACAGCTTATAAGCTTATCTTCCAGAAGTATATGATGTGTGTGAGTCGCTCAGTCATGTCCAACTCTTTGAGACCCCATGGACTGCATCCCACCAGGCTCCTCTGGCCATGGAATTCTCCAGGCAAGAATACCAGAGAGGATAGACGTTCCCATCTCTAGGGGCTCTTCCTGACCCAGGAATCGAACTCAGGTCTCCCCCATTGCATGCACATTCTTTACCATCTGAGCCACAGGAAAGCCTATGTGTTTCTGATAATGTCACTCCACCATTCAAAAATCTGCATTAATCATAAAATGAGTCTCCAAGGCATTCTAAAATGTGATATAAAGCTTATTTCTCACTCATTCAACAAATATTTAGTGTACAGACACTGGGATGATCACCGTCTCTTTCCTCAAGCTACTTCCGCTGAGTGTGCCAACATTTACTGGCATGTTACTCTCTCTGTCAAATCCTGTGCTTTGGACTTTGCATGCATTACTTCCTTTAATCTTCACAGTAACTCATTAAGGTGGAAACTATTATCCTGATTTTATAGAAAAGGAAACTGAACATCAGAATAGTTAACTAACTTAGCCAATATTACACTGCTAGTAAATGAGAGAACCAAGATTATGGCTTTATGACTGCAAAGTCAATGCTCTTGAAAATACCTACCATCCCACTAGCAATTTCTCCATTCATATATCTTGATTTCTTGTTTGTATGTCTCTATTTTCCTGAACTATCAAAGACCTTCCAAGTTGTCTCTCTCACAGCACTGATGCCTGCTAGCTTGCATTTCCATTATTCATGAAAAGTCCCTTGAGAGTAAAACATTTGCCTGAGTCATCTATGCCACTAGCACCTGACCTAGTGTCTACAATATGGCAGATGTTAAATAAATGTTACTGAATAAATCATTTACCTTTGTTCCTTACAGAGAGCCAGGCCTAAGTATTCAATGAATGCCCACTTAATGTTAATATTAAATACACCCAAGAATGAGTAAGACTTAAAACACTTAAGCACTCTGGCTTGACTGAAACACAAGTCTACCTCAGGACCTCTTTCCCTTGACACTATTCTTGGTTTCAAATGCACAGCAGAGTGGTCACCAAAGTTAATGGCTTGATCATCCCCGCAGCTGCCCAGCATGGAAACTTCAGACTTGGCCTTTTCCCTCTTGCAGTCAGTCGTCAATCCTGTTCACGCCACCTCCACCGCTACTGTCTTAGTTCAGGCCTTTTATACTTCCACTTCATCACTGCCTCAAAACTGGTCTCTGGCTTCCAGTCTCTCCCACTCTCACTCACTCATAGTTATCTTTCCCCCAGCTCTGATCATGTCACTCCTGCCACAAAGGAATAGCAAAAAATTTCAAAATTTCAGAACCAAACTTCAAAACAAAATCAAATCATTGTCATCTCCTACCCCAGCAGGGCAGCCAACTAGAGGAAAGCCATTCTAGCTCAACACAGAACAGTTACAAGAGCAGAGAGTTGGTTTCACAATCTCAGCTCTTTGCCATCCTGTCGTTTCTACCTAACTTATGTGGGGATCTCCAGTACTAATTCATGCATCCTTTCCCTTCTCCCATGAGCTTCTTCATCTGTTTTTCAATATTCTTCATTTCCAATCCACTATCTTAATGCTGGCCTATTATTTGTCTCTTTGATCTGCTGGTGCTAATGCAATCCTGGATCCATTTTATTCTTTCCTCTCTTCCTGCTCTCTCCTTTTTAAAGTTGAAGAGCTCACCACCACCACCATACTCCTAATTCCTAGAATGAGTCTTTTATCTGTTTCTATTATTCAAAGAAACTGGAAACCTAATGCTAAAATGTCTTACACTAGTCCTAATTTTTTAGATCACCAGTACAGGGGCCAAAAAATAAAACTCCAAAACAAAAAACCTGAGCACCTTTTAACAATGGGACCTTTGGAGGGATATGAAGTCTAAAATAGTGCCCCTGATGAAGAATCTCTGAAGGTTTCCCATCATAGCTGATTCTCAGGAATCAGCTGATTCTCAGGAAGTTACACACAGTACAGTTTTATACTTCTCAGTTATCAAAATTAATTTAAGTCAATTAAATTAGCAAAGTAAAATTAAGTCCTGAAAAGATAGCAAACAAAATATTCGTGTATTTTTCAACTTGGGCTTTAGTCTTGCCTGCCTGCAACTCAATCTCCTCTACACAGCATGAAATAAGTAAACCTGTTCCTACTATTTCTCATGTTCAAAACCTTTCAATGCAGAACTTCTGGGTAGCTACAGTCAATAGCGGGGGGAAGGGAGAGAGACAGGGTATAGTAATAAACATGCTAAAATTTCTCCCCAAAAAACTTTACAAGAATTCTTCACAAAACCATACCCCCAGCATTACTTGAAGAGAGAGAATGCTGAAAATGCAAAATTAATGTAAGTAAAGTGAGAAAAAGCATTAAATCACAGCACTATGATCCTATTTGTTTAAACCTCACCCTAAGCAAGGCTTTGTGGCCAACAGGAAAGACAAAGGAGAGACACTAGAAAAGGTGCCTGCAAGAGAGCTGGAGCAAACAGCAGAAAGATGAAATCCACCCTAAATCTCAAAATACTATTATAGAAGATAACCAGGCAGATCACAGCACAGACTACAGTAAAGAATTTCAATGTGTGATTTAAAAGGCCAGACACCACATAAAGGACCAAAAGCCTGCAATTTAATGGAACTGATTTGGTTAAAGCAGCAAGCATGATTTAAAGGAAGAAACACCAAAGGATAGTCCTCTCTCTTGCCTTTTGGAGGAGAAAAAGAATCAAAAGCAGAGTTCATGAATTGGGTCACACAATAAACATCAATAACATTCATAAAGTGGAGACATTACAAACAACATTCTGATCACAATGCAATAAAACTAGAGCTTACTAGGAGAAAAGAAAGAAAAAAGAAAAAGTCCTGGAAATTTAAAAAAAAATTAAATCTATTAAGCAACTCTAGAGTGAAAGTGGTAATACAAACTGAAATTACAAAAATGAAAATTTTTTAAGTGACAATAAAAACATTATATATTAGAATCTATGAGATTTAAAGTAGTAATTAATTCCTTTCAAATAGGAAGTCTGTCCCTAAGTCGTGTCTGACTCTTGCAACCCCATAGACTGAAGCCTGCCAGGCTCCTCTATCCATGGAATTCTCCAGGCAAGAATACTGTAGTGGGTTGCCATTTCCTTCTTCAAGGGATCTTCCCAGTCTCCTGCATTGCACGCAGATTCTTTATCAACTGAACTAGGAGGGAAGCCCATTTATTAGAATCTATGGGATTTAAAGTAGTAGTCAGAAAGAAAATTCAGGCGCTAAATATTTTTATTGACAAAAAGGAAGGAAAAATTAAATTTTTTGCTCAAAACAAAAGCATAAGGACAAAGTAAACCAAAAGAAAATATACATAAGGAAATAATGAAGCTTTATCTTTATTATTTATCTTTATTATTGAGAAAGAAATTAGAAAAATAAAATACCTAATTAACAAATCAAAATCCTCTGTTTTAAAAAATTAACAAAATAAACAAAACACTGGTGAACTTGATCAAGAAAAAGAAAGCATATACATCAAAAAATGAAAAGGGGGAACTAACCATTGAAACACAAAGAATTTTTAAAAATCAAAAGACGCTACTGAGCAGACCTCTATGCAAATAAATAAAACAACGAAATCAATAATTTCCTGGAAAAATACAGATTAACAAAATTGACCCAATCCAATTTGAAAATGTACAGAGACCAATTTCCATAGAAGATACAGAGACAATTATTAAGGAATTATCCCATAAAAACTAGACCCAGGTGTTTTCACAAAAGAATTCTACCAAATCTTCAAATACCAAATAATCTCAGTGCTCTATAAACCATTCCAGAGCATTGAAAAGAAAGGGAAAGTTCCTAATTCCTTTTATGAACTAAGTTTAACTATGATACCTAAACCAGATGAAATAAAGAAAAAAAAACTGTCTCAAATTCCAAACCAAAAATCCTAAACAAACTGTTAGCAAACGGACTCCAACATCATATTAAGAAAAAAAAATTATAACCAAGCGGGATTTATTTCAGGAAGACAAAGTTGGTTCAATCTTAGGAAATCTATTATCATATACCATATTAATAAATCTAAGGAAAAAATATTATCTCCAAAAATCTAAGAAAGTCTTTGACAAAATGCAACATCCATTCCTGGTAAAAACAATGAAGAAAATAAAAACTGAAAAACACATTTTAATGTTTTAAACATACAGGCCTTAGTCTTAAAGCCAATACTTTATTTAATGGGGCAAAACTAGAAGCATTTCCCGTAAAATCAGGAACAAGACTAGGATGCTCACTATCCCTACTACTATTCAACATTCTATTCATGGTATCAGCCAGAGCAATTAAACAATAATAATTTACTAATCAACTGTGGGCATAAAAATAGGTTAAAAATAAATAGTTATATTTATTTACAAACAATGTAATAGTATACCCAGAAAATCATAAGCATTAATGACAAAACTAATTCAAATAATAGAAGAATTCAATGAAGTACTAGGATCAAAAATTAACATACAAAAATCAACAGGCTAGGAACTTCCCTGGTGGTACAGTGGATAGGAATCCAGCTGCCAATGCAGGGGACACAGGTTTGACCCCTGATCTGGGAAGGCTCCACATACCATGGAGCAACTAAAACCCTGCACCACAACTACTGAGGCCTGAGTGCCTAGAGCCTGTGCTCCACAAGAGAAGCCGCCAAAATGCAATGAAGACTCATCTCCACTCTCTGCAACTAGCGAAAGCCTGTATGTAGCAACAGACTCAGTCCAACCCAAAAATTAAAAATCAATTAATATCATTATGTTACTTGAAAGAAGCAAATCACAAAAGTGCCCATACTGTATGATTTCATATATACGAAATGTCCGGAATAGGTAAATCTGTGGAGACAGTAAATAGTTGAGTGCTCGCTTAGGGCTGGGGTTAGGTGCAGTGAGAGGAAATGATGAGTGACTGCTAAAGGCTACAGGGTTTGTTTGGGTGGAGGTAATAAAAATGTTCTAAATTGATTGTGATGATGGTAGCACAACACTATAAAAAAATCATTGAATTACAGACTTTAAATGAGTAAATTCAGTCGATTGTGAATTATATCTCAATAAACTATTAATTTTTTTAAGTACAGTTAGAGGGATGGGCTCTCAAATGAGAAGCAGGACTTTTTGAGGTGATGTGCATGTTCTAGATTCTGACTAAGGTGGTATACTACCCAGTGTATATCCCAGTGTATGTCAACTCTCCTCAAACTTTTTTTGTTTTTTAATCAAGAGGTCTTATATACACAAACAATGAACATTCAGAGGACATTATGGAAGAAGAAATCACATTCACAACCGTATATAAGATCAAATACCTAGGAACAAATTTAACAGGATATATGAAAAACCAATAGAAAAAAAAATATTTGAATATAAAACATTCCTGAAGGACACAAAGTGAAGACAAAGTTGCCCAGTAACGTCTGATCTTTGTAACCCCATGGACTGTTTATACAGTCCATGGAATTCTCCAGGCCAGCATAACGGAGAGGGTAGTCTTTCCCTTCTCCAGGGGATCATTCCCGACCCAGGAATCCAACCCGGGTCTCCTGCTTTGCAGGCGGATTCTTTACCAACTGAGCTATGAGGGAAGTCAGGCAGAATGCGGAAAAGGCAGTGGCCACCCACTCCAGTACTCTTGCCTGGAAAATCCCAGGGACGGCGGAGCCTGGTAGGCTGTGGTCCATGGGGTCGCACAGAGTCAGACACGACTGAGCGACTTCACCTTCACTTTCCTGCACTGCAGAAGGAAATGGCAACCCACTCCAGTATTCTTGCCTGGGGAATCCCAGGGACGGCGGAGCCTGGTGGGCTGCCGTCTATGGGGTCATACAGAGTCGGACACGACTGAAGTGACTTAGCAGCAGCAGCAGGTGGAATGAAAATACAAAGACATCCTCTCCTCTGCTTTCAAGGAGGAAGAGGCAGCATTTTAAAGATGTCGGTTCTCCTTCGGCTAACTTATAAATTCAATGAGTCCTAAAAGGAACAGACACTTAGGCCAAGGCCCCCCCATCATCCTGAGAGACATTAGTGGCTCCTTCCAATAGCCTCCCCTCTCGGATTCGGATCTCAGGCTTATCTCAAACGACCTTCATGGCACTTCTGCGGCTTCTCGGGGCAACGCCGACGCACAGTTCGGACTCGTCTCTCCATCCCCAGACTGACAGGAGGGCCGTCCATGGCGAGTGGCCCACTGCCCTTGCCTAACGGCCGCAGAGCAAAACGACGAACCCGGAGCCGCCCACGGAGGGGCGGTGGGGCCGTGGTGTGGCGGCGGGGGAGAGACTGAGAAGCCGACCGTTCAAATGACTCGAGCCCCCGGCAAGATGGCTACTGAGACGGGTGGAGGCGTCAGCGGCCCGCGGGCCCCGCCCGCCCAGCCAGCCGCTCCCGCGGCACGCGCCACCCGCCTGCGCCCGCTCGGCTCGCTCGACGCCGCGCGGGGGAGCAGGCCGCGAGGGCCCGAACCGGAAGCAAAGGGGCAGCTCCGCAGCACCTGGAATGGCCGGCGCTGCCGCCCGCGGCTTCTCCTGGCGGTGACCGTCCTTGAGCCCGGCGTGCCTCGGGCCCTGGGCCCTGCGGCCGCCCAACGGAAGGACGCCGCCACACTGGTGCGAGCCGAAGCGGGTCACGTAGACGAAGCGCGCCCGGTCCCGCTGCAGCTCCCGGCGTGTCGCTGCCATCTCTGCCTTCGTCTCGCCTCGCGGTCCTCAGTGACCGGCTCTGTGAGTCCGGGGAACGGACCACTGGGTGTGTGAAGGAGGGGGGGGCGGACCTGACGGAGCGGACCACTGTGTGCGGGGGTGGGGGTGGGGGGCAGAACCGAGGGACTCGATTGGCAGTTGTGCTGGGGCTGGGGGCGGTTGGATGAAGCCCTCGATCACGGTGCACCGCACAGGAGATGAGAGGTGAGACTCGGCGGTGGCAGGTGGGTTAGGGAGGGATCAGGGTGAAGAGAGACCAGAGAGCCCGGTCCCTGGATGGGCAGCGGGCAAAGGGACGCTTGGACCACTGTGCCGGGACAGGGGCACAGGCGGGTCTTTGGTTGGGGGTTGATGGTACACCACTTATCTGAAAAGTGGCGTTAGTTTGGAGACCAGATCACTTGGGAGTGGGGAGCAGACCATGTAGAGCGGGCTTCTCTGAGGAAAAGAACTGAATCAAAAACAGGGTTGGGGAAAGGAAAGATACTAAACCAGTGGTGCACCCCTCCCCGTGGTCTGAGGTTGGGCAGATTTCAGAGTGAGGAGCTAGTCCTGAACTTAACTGGTCTGGAATGTCAGCCAGATGAAGATGGGAGTCTTGGGGGAAAGCTGGAGCCGGGAGACAGTACTCTTTGATGCCAAAGGATTCTAGTGTGACCTTGGTCTGGCATGTGTTCTGCTGGGCCATGAGCTTCAAGAGACCCTGTGCAGAGAGGTGATGGGCCTGAGGCCAACATCTTACTCAGGTAGTCCTGAAGCCCGTCAGGGTTTAGCTGCTGACCAGCTGGGTTATTTGGGCAAGCCACTGTCCCTGTCTGAGCTTCTGGTTTCCTCAGATGTAAACTCAGGATAATCTGGTAAAGATACACCAAAATGAGGCATATTAAGGACCTGGCACATAGTAAGAGGCAATTCCTTTAGATTTAATATTCAGTTCACATTTATTGGGACTTCCCTGGTAGCTGAGACGGTAAAGCGTCTGCCTACAATGCGGGAGACCCAGGTTCAATCCCTGGGTCGGGAAGATCTCCCGGAGAAGGAAATGGCAACCCACTCCAGTAGTCTTGCTTGAAAATCCCATGAACAGAGGAGCCTGGTAGGCTACAGTCCACAGGGGTCGCAAAGAGTCGGACACAACTGAGCGACTTCACCTTCTTTCTTTCTTTCATATTTATTGAGTATATACCCTCTGAAGTATCAGTTAAGTTCATTCACTCAGTCATGTCCAACTCTTTGTGCCCCAATGGACTGCAGCACAGCAGGCCTCCCTGTCCATCACCAGCTCCCAGAGCTTGCTTAAACTCATGTCCATCGAGTTACTGATGCCATCCAGCCATCTCATCCTCTGTTGTCCCCTTTTCCTCCCGCCTTCAATCTTTCCCAGCATCAGGGTCTTTTCCAATGAGTCAGTTCTTCACATCAGGTGGCCAAAGGATTGGAGTTTCAGCTTCAGCATCTGTCCTTCTGATGAATATTTGGGACTGATTTCCTTTAGGATGGACTGGTTGGATCTCCTTGCAGTCCAAGGGACTCTCAAGAGTCTTTTCCAACACCACAGTTCAAAAGCATCTATTCTTTGGCGCTCAGCTTTCTTTATAGTCTAACTCTCACATCCATACATGACTACTAGAAAAAGCATAGTTTTGACTAGATGGACCTTTGTTGGCATAGTAATATGTTTGCTTTTAATGTGCTATCTAGGTTGGTCATAGCTTTTCTTCTAAGGAGCAAGCATCTTTTAATTTCATGGCTGCAGTCACCATCTGCAGTGATTTTGGAGCCCAAGAAAATAAAGTCTGTCACTGTTTCCATTGTTTCCCCATCTATTTGCCATGGAGTGATGAGACCAGATGCCATGATCTTAGTTTTCTGAATGTTGAGTTTTAAGCCAGCTTTTTCACTTTTTTCTTTCACTTTCATCAAGAGGCTCTTTAGCTCTTTGCTTTCTGCCATAAGGGTGGTGTCATCTGCATATCTGAGGTTATTGATATCTCTCCTGGCAATCTTGATTCCAGCTTGTGCTCCATCCAGTCTGGCATTTCTCATGATGTACTCTGCATATAAGTTAAATAAGCAGGGAGACAATATACAGCCTTGGTGTAGTTTTCTGATTTGGAACCAGTCTGTTGTTCCATGTCCAGTTCTAACTGTTGCCTCTTGACCTGCATACAGATTTCTCAGGAAGCAGGTCAGGTTGTCTGGTATTCCCATCTGTTTCAGAATTTTCCACAGTTTGTTGTGATCCACACAAAGTTTTTTGCATAGTCAGTAAAGCAGAAGTAGATGTTTTTCTGGAACTCTCTTGCTTTTTTGAAGATCTAATGGATGTTGGCAATTTGATCTCTGGTTCCTCTGCCTTTTCTAAATCCAGCTTGAACATCTGGAAGTTCACAGTTCACATACTGTTGAAGCCAGGCTTGGAGAATTTTGGGCATTACTTTGCTAGTGTGTGAGATGAGTGCAATTGTGCAGTAGTTTGAGTATTCTTTGGCATTGCCTTTCTTTGGGATTGGAATGAAAACTGACCTTTTCTAATCTTGTGGCCACTGCTGAGTTTTCCAAATTTGCTGGCATATTGAGTGCAGCACTTTCACAACATCATCTTTTAGGATTTGAAATAACTCAACTGGAATTCCATCACCTCCACTAGCTTTGTTCATAGTGATGCTTCCTAAGGCCCACTTGACTTTGCATTCCAGGTTGTTTGGCTCTAGGTGAGTGAGCACACCATCATGGTTATCTGGGTCATTAAGATCTTTTTTGTATAGTTCTGAGTAATCTTGCCACCTTTTCTTAATATCTTCTGCTTCTGTTGGGTCCATACCATTTCTGTCCTTTCTTGTGCCCATCTTTGCATGAAAAATTCCCTTGGTATCTCTTATTTTCTTGATGAGATCTCTAGTCTTTCCCATTCTGTTGGTTTCCTCTATTTCTTTGCATTGATCACTGAGGAAGGCTTTCTTATCTCTCCTTGCTATTCTTTGGAACTCTGCATTCAAATGGGTATATCTTTCCTTTTCTCCTTTGCTTTTTATTTCTCTTCTTTTCAAGTTATTTGTAAGGCCTCCTCAGACAACCATTTTGCCTTTTTGCATTTCTTTTTCTTTGGGATGGTCTTGATCCCTGCCTCCTGTACAATGTCATGAACCTTCATCCATGGTTCTTCAGGCACTCTTTCTATCAGATCTTATCCCTTGAATCAATTTGTCACTTTCATGGTATAATCATAAGAGATTGGATTTAGGTCATACCTGAATGGTCTAGTGGGTTTCCCTACTTTCTTCAATTTAAGAAGAAAGTGGTCTACTGGAGAAGGAAATGGCAAATCACTTCAGTATTCTTGCCTTGAGAACCCCATGAGCAGTATGAAAAGGCAAAAAGATAGTACACTGAAAGATGAACTCCCAGGTCGGTAGGTGCCCATTATGCTACTGCACATCAGTGGAGAAATAACTCCAGAAAAAATGAAGAAATGGAGCCAAAACCAAAACAACACCCAGTTGTGGATGTGACTGGTGATGAAAGTAAAGTCTGATGCTGTAAAGAGCAATATTGCATAGGAACCTGGAATGTTACGTCTATGAATCAAGGCAAATTGGAAGTGGTCAAATAGGAGATGGCAAGAGTGAACATCAACATTTTAGGAGTCAGTGAACTAAAATGGACTGGAATGGGTGAATTTAACTCAGATGACCATTATGTCTACTGCTGTGGGCAAGAATACTTTAGAAGAAATGAAGTAGCCCTCATAGTCAACAAGAGTCCAAAATGCAATACTTGGATGCAATCTCAAGGATGACAGAATGATCTCTGTTCATTTCCAAGGCAAACCATTCAGTATCACAGTAATCCAAGTCTATGCCCCAACCAGTAACACTGAAGAAACTGAAGTTGAACTTATAGGTTCTATGAAGACCTACAAGACCTTCTAGAGCTAACACCCAAAAAAGATGTCCTTTTCATCATAGGGGACTGGAATGCAAAAGTAGGAAGTCAGGAAATACCTGGAGTAACAGGCAAATTTGTCCTTGGAGTACAGAATGAAGCAGGACAAAGGCTAATAGAGTTTTGCCAAGAGAACTCACTGGTCATAGCAAACACCCTCTTCCAACAACACAAGAGAAGACTCTACACATGGAGATCACCAGATGGCCAACACCGAAATCAGACTGATTATATTCTTTGCAGCCAGAGATGGAGAAGCTCTATAGAGTCAGCAAAAACAAGATCAGGAGCTGACTGTGGCTCAGATCATGAACTCCTTATTGCCAAATTCAGACAATTTGAAGAAAGTAGGGAAAACCATTAAACCATCCAGGTATGACCTAAATTAAATCCTCTGATGTATACATGATAATAATTTATACTTTACAAATAGCTTTACCATGAACCATCTCTTTAAAGCCATGCAGCATTTTACAGCAGAGGAAGTTGGGGGGGGGGGTGTCCAAAATGTCGAGTGACTTCCCCAAAATAAGAGACAATGACAGAGACATATACACTCTTAAACTTTTAAAAACTGAATTATAAATATGTGCAGAAAAATGCTCCAGTCAACAGTGTATAAAATGTATAGATAGATTTTCACATAGTGAATACATCTACATAATATCCACTGAGGTTCAGAAATGATGCACAGCAGAAACACTTCATGTCCTTACCCAGTCCCAGGTAGGGACTTCTTTCTTGACTTCAAACAACATCAATTGGTTTTTCCCATTGTGTTTAATTTCTCTTTCTTACCTTCATACAGGATCAATTAGGTTTGCCTGTTGTGTTTGATTTCTTTCATCTGTTATATTTATGAGATACAAGTTATTGCATAAGTTTATATGTTATTTGAATATACTATCATTAATTCAGTCATTCCACTGTTGATGGACATTTGGCTGTTTCCAGTTTAGGGTCATCATCAATCATGCTGCTGGGAACATTATATATTTATATATATATAGCAGAATATATGTTATAGGATATAT